CCTGACTCCAACTCAGTCTGCCAAGACCTGAAACTCTCAATAAGCATGGAGTCGTGGCTGAACCTGTCATCACTTGGCACCTGCCCCACACTCTCAAGCAAAGAAAGGGAAGCCAGCAAAGCCCCAGGAGTTGTCTTCCCTAAAGGCTTCACCTCGTGGCGCTCCTCAAGATACTTCAAGAAAGCTGCGATACTGTCAGGCCACACTGAACCATAAGCCACCTGCATCCAAGCTCGGAACCCGCGCCAGGCCATCGCCCGATTTCGAAGAGTCTTGGACCTACGATTCCCGAAGAGGCGTAACCACAAGTTGTTGTGGTCGCCCATAGCAAGCATCCGGCCGGCACAGGGGAGTCCGGCCTCCTTGATATAAGAAACAAGCTCCAGACCCCACTTCTCACGAGATTCTTTCTCTCGCTCCTCACGACCAACCTTTGATGCCCGCCTCGCCTTGATAGCCTTCTTGAGCTTCTCCAAAGCAATGGCAGGGCTGCTCTCGACTAGTGAAGTAAAAGCCTCACCAGGATCCACACGAGGCCTGAGCACGCGCCTAGGCATGGAAGGGAGGCCTTCACTCAATTGCCGCGCCATGCTAGGTGCCAGGCGTCCACGGGTCTTCCACGCCCCGAGGCTCCGGGACATTGTCGCAACATCCCTAGCAGAGCGATGAGGCAGAAGCTCATGCACCAAGTCTGCCGCCTCATCCATGGTTTCAAATGCCCCATCAAACTGCAAAACGCCTGAATATACAGCAGTGACAGCAGCATGAAGTTCAGCATCGATCCTTTCCAAGAAACCCCAGCTCTGGTTGCCTGCAAATACCTCTGATGCACGTTTTCCCATCTCAAATGGTCCGAACGAACTGAAAGAAATTGCAAAGGGTGGATGCCGCCAACCAGAAAATTGCAATCGCCTGATACTCAGCTGTCTCCCAGCACACTGCTCGAAAAGCTGCTGCTTCCGTAGGCTCCAAGCAGCTCAACACCAAGCAAGTGCACTCAGCGCTCAAGACACACAAGACATCATCCACCCTGCTAA